TGAAGGTTGTGGTTGTGCATACTATAACGATTCCACAAAGAAAAATACCTTAATAAAACTATCGGACAAAGCATCTATTTTTACTGCTGAAGCTTTCGCAATCTTAAAGGCTCTGGAAGACGCTCCGCGACATCATAAGGTTCTTTCAATAATGTCGGCCTCAAAAGCAGTTTTACAAGCGCTCGGGAATACCAAGTACATTTTAAAGTACGACCCAATAATATTGAAGATTAAAAAGAAGATAACTCTATTAAGACACTTGGACATTCATGTAAATCTATACTGGATAAAAGGGCACAGTAATATTAAACAAAATGACATTGTGGATAATTTGGCCAAAAAATCGATTGCAGACGGAGCTGTGGATATGAATTGTTTGACGGTCGGGGATTTAATAACTGAACACCGGCATAGCATTTATAAAAAATGGCAAACAATGTGGGAAGAGTATATTGGGATGCATAAGACACAGTATGGTTATATACATCGAAACGTGAAATTTAAGAGCTGCTATGAAAAGAAAAACATGACAAGGTTCTTCTCTTCAACAATTTTCAGACTGAAATTAGGACACGGTTGCTATCCAGCCCATCTGTACCGAATGAAAATTATAGATTCGCCAGCCTGCTCATGTGGTGAAGAATTGGCAGATTTGGACCATATCATTCTAGCTTGCACAACATACGAAAATGAGCGCGTGACGCTCCTTCAAACATTTAATAAAGAACGTGTGCCGTTACCCACTAACGTTACCAGCTTACTGTGCACCAACAATCTGATCGTTTATGAAGCACTAATAGAATTTATAAGGATGTCCAAAATACGACTGTAATATTTCACCAAAAAGATAACTGTTATTAGTGTTGTAGGCCCAATTATTTTTTCAGCGTTCGGTGTTGTCTTAATGTGCTTCCTTAATTGTTTCACCCTATGTATAATCCTCTATTACACAAGGTCGTACTCCGTATCGTCATATAAAATGCCATGGTAGACCTCTTGGCGAGAAGCGTGTGTCCCTGTTTAATCCTTGTTTATATGTAATGATGCCTTTTCGTATATAGAGTTTAAAGTAATGTGGCTAAATGGGCTGTGATCCCAATAAAAGCCTACAAAAAAACTAAGCTGTCATCAGAGACTTGCCATGCTGTCATAATTGGTTTAAACTTTATTGATGGTTTTACGTGCTTTATTGCTGTTATTGTTATGGATAACATTAAGCTATTTAATAACATCATATATCTTAGATGTTAAATAACCTTGGCAGTACAATTAATTTGCTCCTTAATTTTTCGTCATTCTACACCGGGCCGTGTAGATGGCGCTCTTTTTCGTGTCTCGCTTTACGCAAATGCAAATAGTAGCGAGTTTCCTGTATTAATATATTAAGGTATTTGGTATTACTTATGCTTGGTTCCTGTCCATTGCACGGTGATTTTCTCGGTACATATTGTAGACTTCATTTCAGTCTGAATACCGAAAACCCTGTATATGCGAATATTTCAATGAAGTGCAAATCTGGGGGATTACTTAGGAATAAGCACAAGGTTAGTTTATATACTTTGAATTTGAGTTTCAGTGTTATTTTTCTTTTTAGAATTGTTTTTATTTGCGTATTATTTTCTTGTTTGAATTTTATTGATGCTTTAATGTAGGTACATTTGGTTGTTTGTGATAACAAGTATTGTTAACGCACGAGATTTAATTATCGCCTGTGATCTTATCGCTGTTGGAAAAATTAACGGAGATTGAGATGTTACTATGTGCGCGTTAGTTCGGCGTAAGTGGGGACGTTTGACGCGTTTTTTCGAAAATGGAGTTATCAGGTCTAATTATGATTGGAGGTACTTTTAAAAGATTTTGAAGAAAGTGGTTTCGTTAAATACAAGAATTAACGTAAAAGCGAGGCTCGCTATTTCCCGACGATTCGATCTGCTAGCGTAGTGTCTTTGCTTAAAATCACTCGCACCAGACCGTACTCAGGTGGATAAATTATGAGTTTCTCATTGTTGAAATGAATAACTCGTTCATTCAAATACATCTTGAACCCGTATTTCCTCATGACGTCCATCCCAAAACAAAATCGTCGTCAATATCGGTTCCCAAAACAATTTCTTCGATACAGGAACCTCCAAACGTAATCCTCACAAACGCTTCACCGTGCATCTTTACAGCAGCGCCACTCGCTGTCCTTAGCTTCCAATCAGTGACTCATCAACTTTATTTTTCTATATGATCCGTAAACAGACTGAATACTGTATTAAAAAGCATTTTTTATTACGAATACGATGTACAGCACACAAGAAAAAACAAAAGTTGTAAGCTCTTGGTTTCAATAGGATGGTGCACCCGCGTACAACGCCCTAATCGTGCGAGAATATTTCCTGGAAAATGAAAAATTTGTCCGATAGGTATTCTCGCACGATTAGGACGTTTCTCCATAATTTAAAATTTTTGATTGGCGCAAAATATGACTCAGTTCCAACCAAAATTGACATGTTTATGTTCATTATCTTGATTAATGCATTTTTTTTTCTAACAATGTCTGATCTTTGTAAAACAATGACAACTCTCTTTTTACACTAATTTTTTTCAGGTAATCAAGTAAATTTAAATATAGATATAGAAAAAAAATAGTGACCCAAAGCGACTATTAGCTTTACCTTTATGTGCCACATCGTCCATGGATGCAATGGCCGAAGGCCATGGTGCCACCGTGGCACCGAGCTGCTGTGCCGGAAGTATGATGGCGAATTCTTTTGTCAACCGACTTCCTTTTATTACACTGAAAAGAAAAAAAAACAGTTAACAATGGCATTTGTTAAAAACAGATTGTAATTAATGCAAGAAAACAATGCGGTCAATGAAATATGTCTTTTCTGCATACACCTTTTTGTTCCTTAATTGCTTTAGGCGTCAATATTGCGAGAGTATAGCTCAAATTAAATCATGGAGTTGAACAGTGCTGAATATGCATATTTTGAATTGCGTGGAAATTAAAATTCATCTAGGATGGGTAGTAACAAGAGACTTTAACCAATAAATAACTAGATATTGCCGTTACGAAGCCCACAGGCTAAAAATAAACGCATCATTTTTGCGAAGAAACATTTTTGCATTAATAAAAATTTAAGTGTACCACGAACTAACGGAAACTTTTTCTTTTCTGGAAAAACTCAATAGGATTATGTATGAAACTTTTGACTGTATTCACTAAAATTTTGTATGGTAGTTGAAAAAAAGTAGCACCAAGTATGTAACATTTCCTGGTTAATAACAACGCGATCACAGTCCCCAACGGTTCGATATCTTAAAAATTTTCCCCGGGGTCTCCACTTGTAAGACGATTCTACGACGCGCCTACCATGGAAATCTCGACACCTGTTTCGCTGCCTGCCGTTCATTAGAAAAAGGAACGGCTCATGGTTGGTGGTCGATGACCTTCTCCTTCATTTGGAAAAGATTTCCGAAGAAGCCAAGATAAATTCACATCTTTTGGTGTTTACACAAGGGTAGTAGTGGTAGTATTACTTCAGTGCATTGTACGACGTCTCAGGTTTTCTTTGTCTCCAAATGGGAGGCTAGACCTAAGGAAAGCGGAAATCTTAGCCCGGCTTAGTGACATTTGGGATGTGAGTATTTATGCATTGAACTTAACTTTCGGTCTAATTTTGGGGTTTGTACTATTCTAGGTATCAGAAAAAACCATTGAAAGAATTATCCGGCTGGATACTTTTGAATTGAAACCTTTTGGCCCACGACCGAAAACTGATATTATATATAAACATTTTTCATTTCGGGAAGATTTGCAACGACTGATTTGGAATTATCACTTGAAAAATGAACACTTTACTTTGGCTGACTTACTACAGGACACGCGGGAAAATTTTGATTTTGATAAGGGGAAAACTACTTTATATAACATTCTAAAATCTATGGGTTATAAATACAAACACGTACCTAAATGGACGTAAAATTCTCTGTGAACAAAAACATGTTGTTGCACCCAAAATTACATTTTTGAGGAAATTCTTGCAATACCAAAATTCAAGTGAAAATATAACATTCGTGTATCTGGACGAAACTTGAATTTTTCAAAATGGATCCAGCGTCCGAAAATGGGTACACGATTCTGAAAATAAAAGTAATCCGTCTAAAATTAAATCAGAACGGAAGCGTTTTACTGTTTTGCATGCGGGATCTCGTTCTGAATTTTTGGAAGGGTGTAATCTATTACAAACTTCAAATAGTAACGATGGGGATTATCACAAAACTATGAACGGGGAGATTTTTCAAAATTAGGTGGTTAATCAATTATTTCCTGCTCTGAACAAAATTCAAGGTAAATGTGTGGTGATCTTGGGCAATGCACCGTATCATTCGGTGCAGTTGGAAAAATTACCCTCACGTAATTGGAAAAAGGATCAGATGCAGGATTGGTTGATTAAACACAATGTCAAAATTGAGGGCAAAATTACCAAAAATTATCTTTGGAGTTTAATAATTGAACCTTTTAGGAAAGACATTAGCAAACGTTACGTGACTGACGAATTTTTGAAAGAGAATGGGCACGAAGTTCTTAGATTGCCTCCGTTGAAGCTCTTTTAAATTGTACTTCTGACATGTGGCAAAATTTTTGCAATCATTGTGAAAAACTAATTTCTGAAGACTGGGTGAAATATATTGGAAATATTTCGTTTGAAAATATTCCACCTTTCATTATTTCATTGGAGGAATCTGAGTCAGAATCAGGTATTGATAATGATTCAGATACTTCCAATGAAACAATGGTCGTGGAATAGAGGATTTTTGGCATCAAAATTTTTGTTATGACATGGAAAATGAATGGGAACACCAAACTCTTCAAAGTTCCAGAACTTAAGGAAAGATTCAAGGATTTCATCAGAAAGAACGAGAGGTCATTACATAACAAGCTGGGACATGGAAAGGAATTACAATCCTCGCCACAAACTCAGCAGGGGAAACACCAGTTAACACCCAGAAGAAAAAATGCGAGAGCAAGACACGATCAGGCTAAGACTAAAAGGTTCCCCAAAGAATAGTAAGCTACCCGCCGAAAATAAGATTAACAGAAATGTACTAATCATCAAACAGCACAGACGGAAAACAAAAGACCCAAGGAAGAACATTCCACTGGCACCGTGGAAGCAAGAACTACACTCAAGCGCAGTTAGGTATCAATGCGGTCGTTGATGGTATATGGGTATAATTTTGTATAAAATTGACATAACCTAATGTCCAGGAGGCAGCGACATTTTTTGTGCACTCATTTCTACAAAGCTGATATTCTGCCATTTTATTGTTTTGATAGTACAAGTAAACAAAACGGTAGTCTACCGCGTCGGCGGTGTTGCCTAAATTTGCAACAATGTTCTGAACATGTTAATAAATAATATGTACTTGCCTCATTTCTACAAGAATTAAAGTTAGTACAGTAATTAAGTATACCTAAAAATGAAGTATGGTAATAGTCTACCGAGCTGCTATCACAAGTCTACCACCCACGCAAGATGCATAAAAAATTATTCGATTGAACTTATTTCTACAAAGATGAAATTTTTGTTGGAAAAAGTTGATGTCATAAGAAACCAAAAAAAATGCTCTACCGATCGCGTGATGTTGTTAAGGTCTCGGTAGACACGCTGGAAGGTACGATTTTCCGAGCGCAGCTGCTGCACTGCTCCGCTAAAAGTACCTCTAAATTATTATATACACGGGCATAAAATAAAAATTTTTCAAAAACGAACATAGGCAATTAACATGGGAAAAAGGTTTTTTGCAGATCGTTGCTCCCTATGATAATTTAGGTCTTAGCGGGTTTATAATGACACCAATCGAAAGTTTTTTTTCTTTATCTAATGATATACGAATTAGTTCATTTTCAGTTGTATTTCTCATTATTAACGATCTTCGAGATTGTTTATAATTTTTCTATTTCAGGTGTCACAAATGATGATTTTGTACAAATGTTGTCGCCGAAAAACAGTTGACAAAGACAGTGTTATAGTCGTCTTGTGGTAACTCTCTCTTTAAGTTGGCAGTTACTAGTTAGTACAAGTATTACTTCGTTACTTCCACAGCCGTCTATAATTACAAGCCATGCTGAGAAGTTTGGCAACGTTGTTTGAAAGTCAATCGGTGGGCCGATTTAGTTTTAATGGCGTCTTGTTGCTCTTGAAAAATGGCATTTTCCTCTCTCCTGTGTTTTGCCTTGGCGGTTTTAATATAGAAGAAAGATACTTAGGCAGCTTACAATTGTGCATATATATTATTTATTTACAAAAATGGATAATAACATTTTTATATGACTTTAAAATTCGGAACGCTGTAAATTGGTAACTGCATCATAATGTGTTTTCCCTCGAGATCTCCGAAAGTGGTGAACTTCTGTCGAAACAGGTCGAGGTGAAGCACACGCTTGAGCACTTAATTTAGGTAAAAGGACAGTAAATCGCTGCGCATCAGCAAGGTTTTATCAACGACCAGGTGTGATTCGGAATGGCAGACTTTAAGCCAGCCGCTACTCCAGTGGGTGTAGGTACGAAGCTTTTAAAGAGGGGAGCCCTGTAGACTTCAAATTCCCGTACCATGAACTCTTGGGAATAAGTTGAAAGGTTCCTTCAGAAAATCGATTTGACATGTCCGTGCTAGAATACCTGAAATACAAACTAATTGTATTTTTTCATGATAAACACTTACCGTACTTACGTACCACGTAGTGTGTAGGTCATATTTGAGCTTGTACAGATACTTTGAACAAATACAAGTGCTTGTAAAGGGTCCAGTAACGAGTAGCCTGCTTTAGAGGTTATGACAACAAATCGATATATTTCGTTTAGCAACTTACCTGAATAATAACTTCTGTTCATTCCGTACGGAGTAACACAAATTGTCGCAATCTCGCTCTGTTAAAACAGGTAAATTGGAATATTACACCCAAAACACATATAAAATACACCCAAAATCTGTCAAGTTGAATTAGGAAATCGGCCTACCATGCAGTGTTGCCATAATTCTCAGCACGGCTTGTAATTATAGACGGCTGTGGTACTTCCATGTTTGAACTTCAAAATGTCAGTCTTACTACGCTGCCAACCTAAAACTTAACGGCATAAAAAGTGTTCCCAACATAAAACATGTTAGTTCTAATGTTCCCTATAGTTTCTGATAATGATTTTTTTAATTAAATTAAAGCACCGAAATAGAAAAAATAGTATGAAAAACGCGTGTTACAATGCTTTATTGTAATACTCCTATCTTGCGGACACTCGTGGCTACGCTTCGCGTCGCCACTCGTGCCACAAGATAGTCGTATTACAATAGGTCGCATTGTAACACTTGTCTTTCAATATACTATTGTATTGCTGTCTGTCTGTCTGTCTGTCCGTGTGCACGATAACTCATAACTGGATAATATCATTGACATTCGCTATTTTGTATCAAAATTTAATGCTACTGTTCATAGAAAATCGTGAACAAAAGTACCAGTTTCCATACGATTTTTTGACAAAAAAAGCCCGGTAATTAGATAACTATGCAAAAAATTTAATTGACTAACCTGTTGAAAAACGAGATGAGTTTTCAGTCTATGAATTTGAACGTTTTTCGTATTTAGGTTTTTGCTCAAAGTTTTCAACTTGTATGTAATATTATTTCTAAGTAATTTTTGTGGTGATGGCATTTTCAAAATTTTTGTACATAAAGCCGAATTTGTGGTTGAATTGAAGTTTTCGCAAAAAATGTTTGAATGAGGGAATACTTCTC